GTGGTAGCTTTTCTCAAAGGAGGTGCTTGATAATGAATGGATAAAACCAACATACAGCAGCTGTACCCCTAGCATTCAGTTTTCTCTTCTATAGGGACATTTAAAAAGATGCACTTACTTAAATATAAATACTTTTTAAAAGCTCACATATAAGGAAGAAAATTCCCTTTACAAAAAAAAAATCTGTTAATACCTACTCACTTTTTTCTTTTTTAATGATATATACTCAACTTGACAAGTTTTAATCCATTCTTCATTGTATTAACATTTTTTGTTGGTTATTTCAAAGCATCAACTGAGCTCAGGAAGCAAGGAGCAGAAACTACCTGCCCAGCTTCAGTCTTCACCTTATAACCATAAAGATACATTTGTCCTTTCTTTAAACCCCAAAGTGCAATTAGAACCTGCTATACCTAAAATAAATCCATCAGAAAAAAACAAAATTGATAAAAATAGGATTAGCACAGGTATCAGACATCACTGGTTGAATTCAGGGTGTGCAGCTTAGCTGGACTGAACTAATATTGTTTAGTTCATGCATCTTGACAACTCCACTGCTCCATGATGAGGCAGGGCCATTCACATTACTCAGTGTTATAAATTCTGTAATTTCTAATATTTTTATATAAAGAAAAAAATTGACCTCTGGTTATTCTGAGGGGCCCTCTATTAAGAGAGTGGGGAAAACGGCTTTTAAAAAGGCATGGGATTCATTATATCCCGTAGAGCCTGCATGTTCTATATCATGATACCCGACACAGATAAGCCTGCAATATTGACACATTTATCTCTCAGATCGATTAATCAATATTTCAAAAGCATTGTGAGGTAATCCTTTAACAATAAATCCTGTGTTAAATTTCCAGTTCTTTTTCATTGCTGTGTGCCTCCTAGGACAATGCACATAAAACATCTGCAAATCCCTTCCAGGGATCCTTGGCATTGCAGCACAGAGTTTGGTTTGTTCCTGCAGCCCCAAGGATTACACGAATCCTTCATCACTACTACTGGATCACACAAGAGTAGCAGTGAAGCTGCTCTAAAATTTTGCTGAACTAGGCAAAATAATTACATATGCAACATGATTGTGGCCTCTCTGCTGCAGTGATGTGGTTAATAAATTGCAAGACATACACCCACACAACACAGTACCAAGCAGCCACTGAAGTCCAGCTAACCCTTAACTGTCAGTTTGAAAAACTATTTACATTGTATGTACAGATTTTTTATACTGTACACTATATAAAGGATAGAACAGCCAAATCCAACTCATGCTGCAGTCAAGGGTAAAATAACATCAGTGGGGGAAGTGAGAAAACACAAGTCAGGAAAGTGACTGTTTTTCCTTTACAGCAACAGTAAGAGCAGGCTATAAGGAACACCAAACAGAAGCTGGCTGTTTCAGAGATCATTACCGGTCTGACTGGAGACCATGGAAAACTAATGGAATAGAACAGGCACAAACCAGCATATGTCCATTTGTGGTAAACGTGTCACATAGTATGCAGAAATATAGGAAGATACTACTGGTTTTTCTCTCTCTTTCTTTCTCTGTCTTTTCTCTTTGTTTCTTCTGCAGTCTGATTAAAGACTCTGTGTCAATCATATACATTTGGTATAGTTAAAGAGGGAAAAATCATCTGAATCATAGCAACCCAGAAGCAGAAAATGTAATTTAAAGATCAAACTTGAAAAATTACCAACTGTGTCGTAAACAGAGTATTACTTATTTTTCTGGAATGCAGCATGGAAATATAGGAAGTTGCCATTTAAACAGTGGCAGATGAAAAACAGTTAGAAAACACACAAATAAAATCTTAAAAATCACTCAATATGTCAGCAAAGCAGGGTGGAACAACATTAGAACATGTGTTCCAGGAGAACTAGTGTTCTACCTCAATCACTTCTAAAACAGAGGGTAAGTATATGATCATAATTTTTATACTGTAAAAACTGTAACCCATAGGATGGGAATGATCGCCTGTAAATTTAAATATTTACAGCATAGTTACTTGCATCTGATTTATTCACTGCAGACAAAAAAGGAGGCCAAATGAATCATACTCAGAGACAACTTCTACTTTTCACTACGATTTCCTCATTTTGTATTTAATTTCTATTTCATGCAAGTTCCACTAGAATGTACTCTAAGCACAACAAAGAATGAATGCTAGAAATAGTGAAGTATTTGAAATACTATTTTGGACTCTCCAAACACTAAAAAAAATAGACTGCAAAATAAAAATATTGCCCTCTTGAAATCTTAACACCACTTTCTGTGAAAGCAGGTTCTTTCCCTCTCTTTCTGTGTTAAATATCTTCCACAGTATCATTGAAGAATAATCATCCAATTAAACAGATTGGGAAGATTCTTCCTCCTGAAAAAAATGTAGCTTCCTATACCAGTTTAACTGTGACATACTCATTTTTTTTACACCAAGTTTTTTTTCCATTAGTTTACCTAAACCAACCAAAAATAATCCAACATGTTAAACTGATTTCATTACTGCTTAAATCAGCTTAGCTTACAGGTAATGAATCAAGCTAAACTGATGCAAGATCTCAAACAGGAACAAAAGCATGAATAAGGGAATGACACTAATAATTTCAGGTAAAGAACTAATGTTAAGATCAAAAAAATTTCATGGCTGTTTTAACCTTGTAAAGTGGGCAATGTCACCTCAGTTTTATATTTCACCAGTAAGAACCAATTGCCTAGAAAGGTGATTTTGAAGTTGCACAAATTCACAGTGCATTTGAATCCTGCACTACTTGAACTGTCACGAACACAGGATAAGATACTGATTGAAGGTAATGGTATTTGTTCCATCTTTCTCTTTCAATAATACGTTTTTGTCTTACTGTGTTGCTCTGACTCTCATGTGGTCAATCTGCAGTACGAATCATTGGAATGTGAATTCAGTGACTGACTTAAAACATTAGGGCTGTTCAGATCCAACAGTTTCTATCCAAAAGCAACTATTATTAAAATAACTAACATATTAAGATTCATTGTCTAAATAGAAAACCTTGCATCATTAATACATAGCAGAAGTCTCTTATGTTTCCAAAAGCACACTTAAAAACACATGCCTTCAGCATCATCTTAATTCTTCTTAAAGCAATCTCAAATAAAAACATAAATATATATGCAGTATAGGAGCACCAGAGCCAAATATTTAAAAGATATCAGATTTGACTAGCTTGCAAGTAACTCTATAATGGAAAGAACCGAGAATCACTGTAAATGCTGTTCAATTTATTTTAAAATAAATACATGATTTTTGGATTACACCTTATATTCCAAACCGTGCAGTTTGTGATCATGGAAGCCAGATGCTGCCATGTTACATTTCACATGAAAGGACTGGCAGAGCCTGGAAACTTGTTCCCTTGCCTTTCGAGGAAGTGTCCCTCAAACACTGCATAAGCACTTCCCTGTCAGTCAGAACTTGACACTATATATTAAATACATGGAAACAAATAAACACTTTGCCATTCTACTTCATCAGTACAGACTGATATTCCTGGTTCAAATCCTAGGCTTGTGACACTGTTTCCTAGTTCTACGTTAAGCACTGAGGATAAAGTCCTACAAAACAAACAAGCCTCTCTCCCCCCCCAAAAAACAAAGTTTGTGTCACTATCTCTACAGGCAGTGTACAGCCATAGGAGAACAGAATTAAGTTTCCTGAAGTTATGGTAAATATGGAACTTCTTAATTTTGTGTTTTGTCTCTAGGAAATTATAAAACTCTGCCTCTTGTAACTATACAAACATATTATCAGAGCTTTGGGATCACCAATACTCAACACTGAGCCTTCCAATGCTGAAAACAAAAAAAACCAAACCCAAAACAAAACAAACAAAAAACCCCCAAACATTTTCATTGCTTAAATTCCAGGACCAACTTACACCAGGAAGCAATAGAAAAGCTCACAATCTTAGAGATCATGCACAGCAAAATAGATCATATATAAACTTTTTATACTCTGCTGAGTTGCCTGCCATTCAGTGCTGCTGAAGGTAGGCATTGGCTTTGAAGGGTATCAGCCAGGTCCAACATGATGGGTTTTTGCAATTCTGAAAATGTCTGCCTACAGTTAATTTCAAAATCCTTCTTAGCACTGCACTTTTTCACCATGGTACCACATTGTGAGTTGGACTAATTACAAGTTCCATTTCATGTGAACAGCTTGACATTTCATGCTTCTCAATGTTAAGGTAAAAACCAGAAGTTTGAGTAGCTATCTTTTACCACGACACAAAAATCTACACAGAAATGAGTCCAGAGACTTCAACTGAGCTATTTCAACCCAGTTAGACTGTGGATCTGGCTTTTACTCTTCATTTTGAGGAGGCTTTCAAGGCATAAACAGTGATTTTAGAGTGACAATACTCAAAAACTTTAAGCTATGTGCCTAAGAGACTAAATCCCACCAAAACCAACTTAACTTAAACACATAATTGCTATTTTTATATTCAAAAATCTCTCAGCAATACAAGGTTTGATTCTAAAACATGACAACAGCTCATCTGCACATTTTCAGCATAAATCCCTGACACTTAAAATAGCCTTCTGAGGGAGAGAACACTGAAAATAATACCTACGAATGAAGAAACATGCCTCCCTCAGTGAAGTGTTCAAATAAGAGGTTAGATATCTGAAAAAAAATTATCTCGGTAAACACGATTCTGCTGTAGTACAGGGATTGGATCAAGTTATTTCAATACCCTTTCTATAGTCCTGTTATTTTGGTTTTATTTTTGTGAAGTATTAGACCTTCAGCTCCCCCCATCTCTTAGTTTACCATTTCTTATGCCTTCAACAGCCCATACTGTTGTGTGGTAAGCCTCCACAAGTGGAATGCTCACCACTTGACACATCAAATTCTCCAAGTAGGAATATGGTATGTCCTCAGCAGAATTAATTACTCAATGCTACCAAAGGTAGTCATCTATGTTTGTGCACCAAAAGATGCAAGTCTGTCTGGACTCACCCCGGTGGGCAGACACAACCTGAAACACAAGGAAGGTGTGCTGAGAAAGTGAGGTTTAGCAGCTGATTCTCACAAGTTCTCTCTCTGCTGAGCTCAGGATCAACTTGTGGATTACTGCAGTTAATATAAATCTGTCCAACTGGGCAGCTGTGTGCTGGGGGAAAAAAAATTGACAAACACATTAGTTTTCACACCTGAAATTCTGTATTCCATAAAGGTATGCAATAGATTTAGATTGAGAATAAATAACAAAAGTGTAACATCTAGTAACACCGATAACATCCAACTGCCTGTCTATCCTGAGTATAACTTCATCGAACCCTTATAAATCTCATACAAAATACTGAAATGAATATATCAATTTAGTAAGGGACATGACTTTCTAAACAGTTAGTCAGGAATCAGCCTCTAAAACAGAAAAAAGAGAAAAGGTTTGAAAGCTAGATATGACTTCCCATACTGGAGCCACTGACTATGAACAAAACAACTCTATTGCACAATTGCTTTTGGATTGCACCGAGCATACTGTGTATATTTAACAGAAATGCCCAAAATAGTGGCAGTTTTAAAGTGTTTTTTTGTTGGTTGCTGGGATTTGTTTATTTATTTATCAGGGAGAGAGGTTCTGGATAATTGTCAAATCAGTACAACCACCACCTTCAAGTGCACGAGAAACAGATTTCTGCTAAAGGCCCAAGAGTTGGCAATTCTAGAACTGAAACCTCAAATAAAATCCTTTCTCACTAAAGTAAAAGGAGCATCATAACAAGAGTATGGACCATAATACTTAATGACATATAAAATATGCTGTAATAGAAAAACCACTTGTTACATTTTGTTACGTTCTTTTGCTTAAGTATGACAAAAGAAATATTTTTTCATATTTCAGTTACTCAGGGTTTGTGGAGGGAAAGAAAAAATATCTGTGAAAAATTACTGCCAGTGTTCCGTTCCTACAACCATGTGTTATGGGGCAAAGCTAACCTTTTTTTGTCCTACTGAAGTTCTGCTGTTTGTCATGCAGCTAAGCTTATTTACATTAGCAATCTAAAAAAAAGTAGTATTTTAAAGCACTGGGAAAAAAGTTGCTCAGATTTAGCAGTATTTTGGACAGTTATGCTGCTGCTTTGCACCAGCCTTTCTTTCAATCACACAAATATATAATTCTTAAATTACAGATTGCCTCCTGCAAGTTATTCATTTGTACATACTGCACATCTTCTCCTACAAGATAAGGAGTTCCACAGAGATTGGAGGATACCTCTTCATTGGACTTCAAGTATCTTTTCCCTCTCTCTCTCTTCACTCACCTATTAAGTTGTTATCACAATTCATTACTCCATCCCTGCAATGGCTGCAATAAAAATACATGAAGATGTAATGAGAGCCAGGAAGATCTAAAATATTAATGTTTTCTGTTTAATAATGAAGCATGCAGTATCAATCAAAATAACTGTATAAATATTTGTACCGAACATCAGAACTGTGGATAAGGTGTGCATTGCCTTAACACATGAAGAATATTAATTACACTTCCAACTTTTGCTTTCTGCATAACATTACTATGAGTTACAATGCCTGAGCTGACATAAAAATACATACAGGAATACACCACTATACTGCTCCCAAAGACATCAGTGCAGTAAGAATAAATCAAGCTCTGTATGTAACAGAATCATCATTATCTAAAACAAAAATGCAATGAGCAATAGCAGCAAAACAAAGCCAAACCCTAAACACACATATGTATATGTGACAGCAAGCTCTGGATATGTACTTTTATATAAACATTCTTAACACTACTATAAATCCTCCATTTGCCTCCCCATCAGCTTAGAACTCTGCTGAAAAGCAATGAAAATCTTGATGATACCAACAGTTCTTAGGTTATCCCACAGCTGAAGGTAAAACCACAATGTTGAATATAATACAGTCACAAGCTATTGTGACTGCAACAATTTTTTGTACTGAACTGGAGTGACTTTTCCCCAAGCAAAACACAGTAACAATAGATTGATAACTTCTCAGCTTCTCCTAACATGGATCATGAACAAACCATCCATCTCAAAACATCTCACAATATCACGAATTTCTCTCTCATTTGTAACAAAATGAGTGTTTCAATTATTTTAGTGTTCTTTGCTCAAAGAAGGAAACAGTGATGCAGCTGCTGATTTTTACCCTCATGCTGTCTCAAACTAATTTTGCTTCAACAATATTATAGGAATTTGGAATAGCAACCTACTGTGACTATTATCAGAACTAACTGGAACTACAGTTCATAATCAGAACCTAAACAAACTGAAACAACTATTCTAATCAAGATTCAAACTAAGAATTTTAAATTAGTATATCATAAAGCTTGTAGTATGTATACCCATTCACACATGCAAAATATTACACAGACAGGAACAGACACAATGTGTTTCCCCTAGATGACACAGTCCAGCAAAGAAACAAGCGAACTGCATTTAACTCAGCTCTGACAAGATACTGCACACAGGGAAGCACTGAGCAACATAATACCGCCTGCTCCTGTCTAATTCCAGCCAAAATAGTCTAGTACTTTTATAAAATGGCATCAGATCTGATAGCAACTCATTGTCAGGGAAAAATGTAGCAGCACTGGCTTCATTTCAGGTCCTGTGTTTCACTAGAGAACCTAAGCTCATGAACTCCAGCACTATTCTCCCATTCTTTTGCAATGGCTAAGAGGTCCCCAGTACACCTACTGCTAGTAAAGCAGATTAAGAATCAAATTCTGGATGTGCTACAGCCACTCTGCTGTCATGTTTGGAGTTGTACATGTGCCCCAAAGCAGGAAAAAGTGTCCCAGCTCAAGGACTTCACAGTGTAACTCAGCCAACAGGCAAAGTAGTACCAAAGGGAACTGACAGGGAGGCAACTCAAATGCTGACATAACATGAGAAGAAATTCCAGTTTGAAAGTGGAAGTTCCAAAGAGGAAGCACTTGAGAAGAAAAGGGACACAGAGAGCATAATAAAGATCATAATTGTTTCTAATAAAAACACAGTGACAGAAAAAACCCAATACATTGTGTGTATTTTTTTCCAGTTCATCCACACATAGTCCTACATGATTCCTAATGTATTACTTAGCACACGGTAATTCAGAGGAGCTGACAGTCTGTACCTCCATGTTTGAAAGCCTTTTCTCTCAACAGATCTGTATACAGCCTTGTTAAAACGCAGCCAGGAAGTCATGACTAAATTGGAGATACAGATCTCTTATTTTTATCTTGAAGACTAGTAGTTGTAAACCAGTAGATATACTTTAATTAACACATTCACATGAAACATAAGCTGCCAGATCCCAAATAACTCCACTGAAATAAATGGAAAGATGATTTTCACGTGTAGTAATTTCTAAAAAAACACATTTGTGGATGATCACATGATCAGTGTGCATTCAGCCAAATATCCACCATACTGTTTAGCATAATTAGCTAAACTAAACCCTTGAGGAGGAGGATGAAAGGAAACAAATTAAAGAATCTACCAGGAGAAGCCCCTTCCCATGACTGCCAGTGCTGTCTGCCACATGCCATGCGAACAAAAACATCCAGAAAAGCAGGCAACAGTGTACCTGGATCTTGCACAGCCCCATAAGCAGAATAGGTTGCCTCGTACTCTCCAGGGAATCTGCCCTAAGGTAAAGATGAGCTAACTTGACAATTAAGATATAGATTGATAATGATCAGTATTTATGGACACTAGGCTGCTGACAAGAGTGAGAGTGAGAATGAGTGTGTATGTTTACTAAATGTCCCGATTGCAATAGGTGTCTGGCAATATTAATCTCTTATATGGCTTTTACAACAAGCCAGTATACTATGCTGATCTATCACAGACATGATTTGGTCTGTTCTGCTTTTAATTAAGTGCTGTAACAACTGATACAGGCAGTGAGAGCTCCCAACACTACTTCAATAAAAAGAAGTAGTTTCTTTCTACTGTCGACTGTTTAACTGGTGAAAGGGATGCATCTGGCAGCAGCCAGAATAATTTAACAAGTTGCCTTCTTTAATGTCATGACTGTAATGATGCAAATGGAAGAGCAAGAGGACAAGAACAAATGCTAAATGTAACGAACAATAAGATGCTTATTTACCTTTGGCTGCAGCTGACAGCTACTTGTATTGTTTTAGTTGATAAAGCCACATCGCTCTTTTACACTGATTCTATACTACGGGAAGACAGATTCTTAATTATTCTTCAATAAATGGATTTACAATCTGGTATAGGGAAGGAGAATAGCAATGAAAGTCTAGCTGAACAGACTTGAATGGACAGTCAGGAAATGTCTGGGGTTTTCTGGAGCTCTTCACATTACTATGGGTCTACAAAATCATAGTGGCTTTTCTCTCTGCTTTGCACTTCAGTATATTGGCTTATAAGCACAGCAGCCTGGAAAACAAAGTTCTAAAGAAGCTCTGTCCAAACATGCACAGAAAACTGACATAGGTTTATTCTCTATGTTTCATTAAAACAAACAAACAAAAAAACCCAGACAAAACAGCAACAAAAAAACCAACAGGCTAACCAGAATGATTTGACAGAGCTCTTAAGAGAGACACCATTTAGTCAGGTGAAAAAAAGTTTTGTATCTTACCATTTGCCCAAAGATGTCATAACATTTTCTCCAGGGGGATAGTCAATTCCTTGAAAATAACATGGGCATTCATTTCTGGAGTAGAGGAAAAACATGTAACTGTGATTAACTCAAACTGAAGGAAGAAAAAATTTTCCATGGACTTGATTGCTGTTCAAAAGTTCAATTGGTTGCTTTGTTGGTTTTGGTGAGGTTTTTTGGTTAGTTGGGTGGGGGTTTTGTGGTTTTTTTCTTTTTAAATACAAGAAATTGATCTCAATACTGCCATATAACTCAAGCGCATTCCAAACCAAATCAGTAACAAAGCAGAACACCTACAAGAATGGACACCTTTTGTATCTCTCATATGCCAAAGACCCGACAATATGTAACAACTAGCTTTGGTGATGTTGGATGAGTGTCAGTACTGTAAAACAGCTATTTTTGATCAACATATGGGTTCTGTATAATTCTAAGATCCCAACAACTTTACAGATGCATAATACCTACAAGGTTACATGTTTATTAGCTTTCCACTCTGACTTGCAAATGCAGTGGTCTAGAATAGTGGGGCTGACTATCAGAATTGCAACTTTACCTACCTCTGTACACATCGCTCAGTCTTGGAATTCAAATACATTCCAGAGGGACAAGCACAGCCTTCAACACAATCACTGCTGCATGTCTCTGGCACAGACAGTGCTTGGCAGGTTCTGCCACAGGTAGATACACAAGTACTGTACTCTTTTGTATCTTCACATGAAAGAGCTGTCCAAATGAAACAAATCTCTCAAATTACAGTGCAAGAGACTCAAGTACCTCCCAACAGTTTTCTGATAAACATCTCTACTCTTTCATTCCCAATCCCATTAAATTCCACTAAAATTGCTATCTTGGCACTATGCTGTGTAAACTACACAGATGTAAATCCGCAGTAATAACGAGTACAATGAAGTCTGTGCAGGTAATCCAGATTTACACTGGGGAAACTGAACAGTTGAAGCTTTTTTCCCCTCTAACTCTAAAAACACTTGGCTCTTGTGCATGGGTTTTGGGAAATGCACAGCATCTTAAAGAGTGCATTAAAAGCAACAAATGAGTGTACTTCGCAGATGTTGCACAATACCATCTTCAGTTTTCTTATATATACACATACATATATATCCTATAAAGCTCTACTTAAAAAAAATCTGAAGTTCTTGAAATACTAAAGATTCACATATTTTAAACCATACAAGCATGACTTTTCATATATATTTAATAAAACTATACTTGCTTGTAGAAAAGTAAAATACAATTAAATGCTTTGAACATCATAGTGGACATAGCCATTCATGCCATAATGACTGCAAGCAAGCCAGTCTTTTCCAGACAGACATACAGATACTCCAGCTTGAGATACTTAAGCTGGACCAACTTTCCAAAATTCTCTTTAGCATGCATTACAACACAGGTAATTACATGATGTGATGAAAACTACCAGATGTTAAATTCTTAAATGTTCCTTACAAAAGATTGTCAGCCTTGTTTATGGAGCCAAACCTACTGAAACATCAGGGTTGTCAGTTTAGGGTTGTTTTATAAGGTTTCCAATACTATAATTTTAAAAAACGTACATGAGGGCACTACACGTCCCATCAACATCTTTTTGCATCACTAGAAGTTCATATAAACTAAAGAATTTAATAATACTATCCCACTCCTCTACTTGTGAGGCTTTATAGAGCAGATAGCCAAAGGTGACATCTGTTATCTCTACGCTGTCTATATTCTTCCATTAATTTTAAATTAAATACCAACGATACCAATTCTCTACACTTATTTCAGCACTCTCTATTTCAGTGTCACTGACAGTAAGAGAATAAGCTAGAGATTGCCAGACAGCAGAAGTTGACAATTAAAAAAAAGGGCTAAATACATCACCATAATTTTTCATTTCATTTATTTAAAGAATTAGATAAACCTAGCATCTACAAGGAAAAGAACAAATTTATTTATGCAGCTCATGAATAATATCAACATGGGTATGACATTCAAAGCCATATAAGAGATATAGACATATTTTTAATCCTGGATACATTTGAAGCCCTCCAACTACTTCAAAAAAAAGAAAATCTTGTTTCTTAAGTCAAAAGAACAAAAGAAAGCCAGCTATAAAGGAACAATCCTCTAAAACCACTGGTACTAATTCTGTCTTGACAAAAAAAGAACCTTGTCCTTTATAAAAAGATAAAATTAATCCTCTTCTCATTTAAAAGATTATATTCATTTAATTTTATTTTCCGATTGTGATTCTAAAGTCCTCAAACAGTAATTATTTAAGACTAGAACTGAAAGGCAACTCACCGCAGTCTGGGACACCTCCTCTGAAATCTATAACAACTCCAAATCTTCGGCAATGATGAGCATAATGGGCCAGAGCAGAGCAAAAACAAATCTGTCCACATTTGCAAGTGTCTCTTCTGCACTGCTCAAAATAGGGCACAGGACTCAAATAGGGGTAGCATGGAGCAAAAAGTTGTTTCGTAAGGACGCTACAAGCTTCTGCTGCATAAGAGGCTATACGAATAAGAGATTAAACACTGTTTCAGTTAGGGAGCTTAAAAAGACTTGGAATAAAAAGTGTGTTCTATACAATGCAACTGATCGTAGTTATATACTATTGCCATATATATCTTTCTATCTTTGATATCTATACAACTGTATGGAAGGACAGAAAAGAAGTTAGCTCATCATAGTTTTGAACTTGTTCTGGGAATGGTTTTAAGGTATTTGGTAAACTTTACGATACACAGACAGTGCCTACATACAGTCTCCTATCTTTAAACTGATTCATGGATGCGGGTTAGGCAACAGATGCTGCACACTACCCAGTGCCTTTCGTAAACACACAGGATTACATATCTCTTCAGTTTAAGTCATTCCCAGCAACTACTTCAATAGGTCAGTATTTTAAAGAACAATCTGTTACTCATTGTTTCAGTTGCTTAAGGCTGCAACCACGCCCAGAGCTGCTAGCTTGGGGTAGCACTATCGCACAGGAGAACAAGAGCAGTATCAAATAGTTACGTAAGAAGCTCCAAACACAGCACTCACCTGAATATCTTAATTCTGAACGCATTAAGTTATTGTGCAATAGCGGTCAAAAGAAATAATATGTTATACCCAGAAAGAAATAAATTTGTATTTCCCACAAAATGAGAGATGCATAAACTAGGACTTCAAAATTCCTTTTCCAGAATTTCTGACTTCCTGTACAGCCCACTTTTTTCTATATTCATGTCCAAACCCATCACCAAGAATGCAGCTTCTTAGTGCTGCACATCATATAAATACTCAAAAGATGACGATGTAGCAGGAGACAAGATGATTTCCTAGCACTGCTGAAATTACAGGCAAAACCTTAATCAATATTTTACATCTGTATCTTGCCTAAAAGTGTGTAGGGTCCAAGAGAAGAAGGGGTAGGAACCATGAAATGGATAACACTGATGATCTACAAAGTTCATCATTATTAAAGGATGACCATCTCTGGTCCTCATGGCATCAGCCACTAGGCATTTTTCCCCAACTGGACCCTTTCAGCTGAATTTAAAGGCTGGCAGCGCATAAGTATCTTTCTCCTACTCATTCTCCTCCATAACAGACAACTAAACCAAATCTTTCATTTTTTCAGTATTTTCAAAAATGAATATACCAATACTTTTGCGTCTCCATCTTAACTAGCAGCATCACCGATACTAGACATACTACCAACCATTAATGCACATCTAACTTAACAGGTTGTAACTGCAAACCAGAAATAAAAAGGGGTTATTTTGAGTGCCTCTGCAAGCATTAATTTAAGTATTAATTTTTTCAGTGGGTAGGACTGGTTATTACTTTACCTGATCCAACTAGGAAAACTGGCACAGATATAATAAGTAGAAATGCATTTGTCAGTAACAATTGACCTTCATTGCCCACCTGCCTGCAGATGAATATCACACGGATCCATTTGCGAACTATCATGCATAAGAATGCATGCCGATGAAGTTTTCCATGTGTTTCCAAACAGCTCTGGAGTGCTTTCAGTTACTCCAACTGGAGACCTTTTACAGAAGAGAAGTCAGTCACAAAAGATACAGTGAATTTACAGAATGGTCTCAGTTCTCCCACTCCCTTCAGCAGAGCTGCTTCAAGCTCCCCTTCCACTGTTCCATATTTTCATGCACTTTCCTGTAAAGCACTGTCAGCTTAAGTTTCAGGACTCAACTCTTTCTTTCCAGGCAAAGGCCCAGAAACGAAAGAGAAGATGTGCTCTAAAGCCATTAGATACTTTGTAAGGAAGGACAGATCAAAACAGACCAAGTTCCATTTCCATGAGAGAGGAAGGGAGCACCACTGTGCTGAAAGTCTGCACTCTTATTCATACTTCTGCCTCTTCAGTGATATCTGATCCATTTTTATCTCTCTACCTATAATTTCCTGTCTGTTCTTGGGTAGCTGACTTCCCAGGCTCTCTAGTCCCTGCAAGAAAGAGGAAGGAACAGAAATCCAAGGGTCCAGAGATATAACTGCAAAAGCAATTGAATAGATATCCATGAGGCCCAGGTAAGCACAGGGGCAGCAGAAGCTGAAAGATTTTGAAAGACTTTGATCAAAATAACCAAGGTGCATTAATATTGTATAGGGAGAATGACCAAAACTGTGCATTTAAATATGGGATGTTACACTCTAGGGAAAAGATTGCATCAGGCATACGACCAGTAGTATTACTTCTGGTAAAGTAGCTGGCAGTGGAGGTGTTGCAAAAGACACCATTATCTATGGCAAGTCTCCCAAATCTGGTGTGGATCAGGTGTTTTGTGTACATGTCAAGAGGCCTGCACATTACGGTTTGTCATGTGAATGACATGATGAATTTGCACAATTCATAAGTTCCTGTAGTTTAAGGGCTTTTTTCACAAATATCAACTATTGCACAACTTCTCACTTATTTGAGAACAAATCCAAAGACTATCATCAAAAATACGCTACAAGAAAAACTTACTTGCTTCAAGCAGAGAAATATTTTTAGTAGTTTTACATAAATAATCTCTTCATTGATATCCTGTCTATATATTTCCTAGTCTTGTTATAAACAACATTCTGATAATACTTTTTTCATCTTCAAGATAGAAATTGTGCAAAAATCCACTAGAGTATTTGTGTGTGTGTGTTTTTAAATGGCAACTATTATGGAAAGTTTTCCCGTTTTTCCTATTAGTTTTGGTTTTAAAAATTCCAGCTGTTTTGAGAGAAAAGTTCTCCTACTCTTTTTTTTTTTCTTGGTCAAAGAAATATTCTATCATGCTCTAAATTCATGTTCTCCTTCTCCCACTTCCATTAGGCTGATTGATCCTCTGGAAGCAAATTTGTTCCTTAGTATCTGTAGGAAATATGCTGCAAAGAAGCTGGACAAACAGCGATCTTGACTGTGGTGCTCAGGCAGCTCTGACCACCTTTCACTGCATCACGACAAAGCAAAGCTCAGGCAACAGCCAACTCCTGTTGCTGGCTTGCAGATGCTGAACAATGGAGGCTCTGTCAGACAGAGCAGATCAGAACTTGCAGCAGAAAATAGGAGCTGGAAAGAGATATAGAGAGGCTTGCAAGGAGGCAGAAAGTCCCTTATATAGGCCACTCCATATTTTGGACAAAACTTTTCAGATAAATTAGCACTTGAGTCATATATTTCACTGTATTTTTCTATTAAAATATTTTAAGCAAAACCTGGCTTGATATCGTATATTGACATTACAGATTTTCTCTTAGCAAACTAAACCCTACTAACACAAAACTTCAAAATAAATTATTCTTAGTATCTATCCATTCAGCTTCAGTACACACTTTATCTACCACTCTAAACTGTAGATACTCATATACTGGCAAATAGAAATCTTGCCGCTATTCATACAAAAAATCATCCTCCGTATTTCCATTGAAGGTTCCACAAAGGCCCACAGTATCATCTTTCCACTGTCCATCAGCTTGGAGGTAAAGCCTCAGTCCTTCTCTGTCATACAGTATCTGTAATCCAATGTGCGTCTTTACTTGAAGAAATACAGAGGAGAGTTTCCGTATTTCAAATAATTCTGGTGAGTAAAAACAGAAATTGTTGAAAGGCAAAGGAAATCTGCTTGTAATTTGCATTTTGTTTCTTGTCATTTCCCTGTTTTTGTTTTGTATCATTTTTATGGAAGTTACATTTTTTCCTATTAAGGCCCTATTTTCCCCTGATCATTGATTTCTCACAAAAGGTTGCACTGATTCAGACTTTAAAGAAGAAAACAAGAAACTTACGACAGTCTCCACACTTTTCGAAAATGCATCCAGAGTTCACTGGAATATTCATAAACATGAACTAAAAGCAAATCAATTTAAAGACACAAACATTGCAGATGATTTATTTTAGACAACTTAATCCTAACACCAGCAACGTGCTTCCTGTATTAAAGCCTTTTTTGGGAAATTCCCAAGGAGTCACAGCCTCACAGACATCAAATATACTAATGGTTTGCATACCAAGCTCTCATTGATGCTAACATTGAATCATTCATATGCAGAATACTTGGTCATATCTTCTGGAGGGAGAAATTTAAAAACTCAAAGCAAAAAGAAACAAAAGAAATTTTTTGTCTGAAAATCTGTAGCTTATCTGTAAGGGGCAAGAGGGCTCTTCCCACTTACATTTACTTGCGTTGCTTACAAAAAAGGGAAAAGAAATTTTTCAGTTCAAGAATCAGAGAAAATAATTTCCCCTCAGAAAACAACTAACCAACCTTGTAAATGTGAGGGATGGCATTTGGACTTGGTAGAGACAGAACATACTCAATCTTAACATAAGAGACACTAGCCCAATACAGCTACTGTACAACTCCTACCATTAGTGTAAAAAGTACATCAGCAGTTAAGCAGTTAATTTGTGAAACATCTCAAAAAATTAACAATGTTGATATTAACAATATACTACTTCAGTATGTTAGCATTATTGACAGCAGCACGACATACACATATGCCATTAAAATACTGCTTTAGTGCTTCATAGGAGTTATATTCTTATATATTATTCCTTACCATCTGCATAAGGCAGGTTAATTTTGTATTGGTCATATACCAAAACATCTCCTGAATGAGTCAGGGTCACTTGCCTCTTGGGGTCCTGCTTAAGAATAAGGCTGATTGACTGAATACATGATCCATCCTGGTTCTACAAGTAAGAGCAAAATAAATTTAGAAAAAAAAAATTAAGTAGGATGAACGTTAAATAAGAGTGCAAGAAAAGCTCTAATTAGTGGGGAATTGAAAATTTTCAGTTGTATGTTGCTTCTTAGAAGAGTACACTTGTAAAACATACAGCTTTACAGCTAAGTGAGAAAACTTAGTATTTTGAATTATTTCACATGTATGTTAAAATATAACGCTAACTTGTTATGCAAATACAGCTCAAAAGTGGTATTTGGAAAGAGAAACTTAAACAATTCCTACATAGCTTAGTACAAAGACACCTGTCATTCATGAGACCCCCTGATTAACTCAGCCTCAGTGGTCCTTTAATGTTCACAAACAAGGCTGCACTATCCACATAGCAGTGCACATAAATCTAAATCTGTACTTTAAAGTGTTCTGATATACCCAGGTTCTTTTAAAGCATATTTAAGATATAAAATTATTTTAAAGGCAAACAGTAATGAAAGACAGAAGCATCTTGTGAATCACTATTTAAAACAGCATTTGAGTTCATTATTTCTGAGACGAGTTGTGGAATAGGTTCATAAGCTCCCTGGATGAATATTGACAAAAGGCAGGCAGCATCATGACAGCATACAATACCACAAGATCCAACTGGCCCACCTTGCTTCTTGTTACTACCATTGCTTATTCTTATTTTCATTTCAGTTCTCTAAGTCAAAACATCATATGGAAAAAACATGAAAAGGAATACTGCATTTCAGTCTGGATGAAACAATATCCTAGATCAACCTAGAAATCCTAGATCAACCTCACCTACCTTACCTACACCCACCCTCTTCAGTGGCACTTAACATTACCAAAAGCAGCTAATTGACCAAAATGCTAGTATTGCACAACATAAAGCAGCTACATGGCCTACACAAGAAAATTTCATAACAGTTTAAAGATCAAGAATTGCATTCAAGTTTACTGCTTTCATCCAAATGGAAGTCAACCATAACACACTTATTCTACGTTAATTAAGCTGGATTTTTGTTCCATTCAAGCAAGTCCTGAAACTAGTTGGTACCTAAATGAAGTCCCAAACTACTTAATAATCCTGCATGTTTTAGTTACCATAGTGATCTTCAACTAGACACCATACCACACAGGTGGAAAGCAGCACAAGTCTGAGGGCTATTGAATACTGAATGTTTTCAGCATATGACAGTAACAAAGACACCTGTACTAAATAACATGGAAGCTAGCCAGATAAGTGATTAACACTAGTTAGTTCCCATCAAAAGTTCCCAGGCCAGGACTTCCACCTTTCAGAATAACTACAGGTACTTTGGCTTTCAATGCC